TCCAATCTCGGGTGATATTACCTTCTGGTCATCAAAATGGCAATGGAAAACCCCCCATTTAGTTGGATGATTTTCCCATTAAAACCTCCATTTAGCCACGTTTGATTACTGGGTACTGAATTTTCCCAGTTTCCCACAGCTTCCAATCCATGGTCAGCAGAGATTTCCGACGATTTCCGCTGGATGGAAGAGTTCACCTCCATTTCTTTCACAAAAATTGTGAGTGCAAAAAATGAGACCAAACTACGAAATTTGGTGAAATTTAATGGGCCAATGGGTAATCATTCAATGGGTAATTCGCAAAAAATAATGGGTAACCATATCTTAGTACCCATTTAATCTGGGATTTAATGAATCTCCATCATTCTTAGTTTGATGAAATGATGAAAATGATGACCAAACTAATGATGAATCTCCACAGAAATTCCAACCATCATTCTTTATCACAGCCGAAGCTCGGGAAAAAGGGTCTACCACCTCCCCGCGGGTTTCTATATCGGGCTGATATCAGGTGTGGCGATAGTTTACATCGCCATAGATCTCTTGCGAAGGTGGGAACCGATTGGAAAGATTGGGGAAGCTAAGAGGAGATTCCTTTCCCACCATTTTTCATGAAATGCCACTGTTTCACCAGCTTCAATCTATGTAGGAAGAACACCAATTTTAGAGGCTAAGCCTCATCTCCTTGGGTGAAAATCAGGATTTTCGCATTTTTATCCTCTTGGTTTCACATACCCCCAGGCTTCTTGATATATGGGTCTGACTTCGCTTAGATGTTGACTTCACGAAGATCATCCCCTCAAATCACCAATTTTCACTGATTCCATCAGTGAAATCCAGAGTTTTTCGAGCATTTTGGAGGCACCTGCACGCGCGCCTGAAAGCGCGGAGGAAAAGTCGGATCTCCTTAGCAGGCGAGAAATCTTCGTTTCACCGAGTCACTTGTTTGGGGCTTTTTGGTGAGAAAATTACAGAAAATGTCAGGAAATTCCATGGGTTTTTTTCGGGTGGAACATGGTGATATAACTAGCAATCAAATTGGGAGTTCATGAGGATTTAGGCGGGAAATTCCATGGCATTTTTTTTGTGGAACATGGTGATTTTGTTGACCAGTAGTAGCAATCCAATGGGGAGTTAGTAGGGATTTGGTCACTCGAAATTGGAAGAATCCCATCCCCCGATCATATGATGGTCCAAATTTTTGGACCCGAGATGAAGAACAATCTGATACGGGAAGGGATTGAATTTGCAACACTGAAGATCTTGTGCGAAGGATGTAAGCTGCAAAAAAAATGAAAACATAGGGGCAACAGTTTTGAATTGTTTGTGCATTACCAATTGAGTGAGGTCAGTTGTTTTTCCCATGGTCTGTCTCTGGTATGGGTCCTGATACAAGAAAAGATTCAAGGGAGACGTGCGGTGCGTTCAAACAAGTCTCCATCCAGAGCACATTTTTCTGCTACTTTCATCCGCAATGGGTATGCCTAATCCAAAGAGCAGTTTTTCAAATCATTTTTTTTGGGTTGATGTCTGGCCCGGATTAATAATCCCTAGACATTTCTTTTTTTGTTGGGGGTACCATTTGCGTAGCTAAAGGCAAGTTGGGTTATCAACCGTGGTTTATTGATTGTCTCCACTGATATTGCTACTGAATCAACCCTTCAGAGTACCGTTGATTAATGCTTCACCCATTCTTGATCAACCGGGGTTTAGTCTCATCCGGGTTTGAAATTATATATAGTGATTTGTTTTGTAGACCATAAATCACCATTTGTCGAACTATGGATGTCCATGTTTGATCGTCAAATCCACATTTTTCCATTCTATTCCCTTCATATTATCCCAATTTAGAACTATATATAATGGTAACATTTACCATTAATATTAGTAAACCGCTGATATTTCAATGCTTTACACCACCCAGAAATTCCAAGTAAAATATCACAGTAATTCTTAGCCATTATAAGCTCATATGGAGGTTTCCATAAATGGGGGATCCCCTTTATCGCTGGATGGTTTATTTCATGGAAAATCCCAATCCAATAGCTGGATAATAACTAGGGGTACCCTAAGCTGGAAAAAAGAGCTGCGCATGTTCTGCTGGAAAGGCATCCGGTATAGCAATAGCCACTCCCCAGTCATCACCATTTTTGTAGGTGGTATGGTTACCATTCCCAGTCATGGGTGGTTCATGGCATTGTTTTACCCACATTACCCTCCAGTAAACCAACATAACTATGGGAAATCACCATGTTTCATTGGTATTTTAACTATTTCTATGGCCATTTTCAATAGCTATTTTGACATCACCAGAGGGTACAATGTGGGCCCCCCCAGTGATGTTTGTTGGTTTATAAACCCCATTAACTATAGTTATTTGCGTACCATAAACCATAGTGAGTTCTTGGAGTTATAAACGCACCAACTGAACGCGAGCTCGACCGGGGGCACCACATTGTAGCCACCATAACAATAGCCACTATCCAAGTAATAACCCAGGTCCCCGAGGTCGTACTCGTGGGTACTCCGTGGTGCCAGGCCAGTTCTTTTCCGCGGACGACAGCGTGTCCGATGAGAGCGAGTGGCCTGGTGGTGTTGGATGCTGGGGAGATGGTAGGTACCAAGCAACGGAGGAATCCCAAGAATACCATATTTTGTGGGGATATTCCCTGAAATTTAGGCCTAAGAAATAGGCCTCAAAAGAATGGTAGGTAGCTCGAATTTAGGTCCTGAAATGGCCATTGAAAGAATACCATCTGGTTATTTAACATATGGAAAATCCCTTATCAATGGAGGTTTATAGCTGGGACAATCATCAATGGGCCATGGCTTCCATAGCTATGTTAAATAACCAGAGAGTAATAGAATCTTGGATTATATATGGTTAAAATTCCCCAAGAATCGTTGATTTATAGGGGTAATGCCCCTTTGGGGTGTTTGAACATAGTCTATTGAAGAATCATAACAAGGACGCTTTCAATGTGCTATGTTTGCAAAATAATGAGAATAATCACAATGCAGGGGTAAACGGGGCCCACGCCAACAGGGCGGCGCCGAGAAGCCGAGAAGCCGAGAAGCCGAGAAGCGCCGCGAAGCCGAGAAGCCGAGAAGCCGCGAAGCCGAGAAGCGCCGCGAAGCCGAGAAGCCGAGAAGCGCCGCGAAGCCGAGAAGCCGAGAAGCCGCGAAGCCGAGAAGCGCCGCGAAGCCGAGAAGCCGAGAAGCCGAGAAGCGCCGCGAAGCCGAGAAGCCGAGAAGCCGAGAAGCGCCGCGAAGCCGAGAAGCCAAGAAGCCGAGAAGCCGAGAAGCCGAGAAGCGCCGCGAAGCCGAGAAGCCGAGAAGCCGAGAAGCGCCGCGAAGCCGAGAAGCCGAGAAGCGCCGAGAAGCCGAGAAGCCGAGAAGTCAGGAGTCCAAGGAAAAAGAGTGAGGAGTTGAACGAACAAGACAGGACTTTAACGAAAGAGAGGCCGCCGACGAAAGAGCATTAGAGAAATGAAAGAAGGAATCCGAACGAAAGTCAGGAGCCCAGCGAAAGAGAGGGGAGTTGAACGAACAAGACAGGACTTTAACGAAAGAGAGGCCTCCAACAAAAGAGCAGTAGACAAATGAAAGAAGGAATCCGAACGAAAGTCAGGAGCCCAGCGAAAGAGAGGGGAGTTGAACGAACAAGACAGGACTTTAACGAAAGAGAGGCCTCCAACAAAAGAGCAGTAGACAAATGAAAGAAGGAATCCGAATGAAAGTCAGGAGCCCAACGAAAAAGAGTGAGGTTTTAAGCGAAAGAGAGGGGAGTTGAACGAACAAGACAGGACTTTAACCAAAGAGAGGCCTCCAACAAAAGAGCAGTCGAGAAACGACGAACGAAAGTCACGAGTCCGACGAAAAAGAGTGAGGCTTTAAGCGAAAGAGAGGGGAGTTGAACGAACAAGACAGGACTTTAACGGAAGAGAGGCCCCCAACAAAAGAGCAGTAGAGAAGCGAAAGCAGGAATCCGAACGAAAGACAGGAGTCAAACAAAAGAGAGAGGTTTCAACCGCAAGAATTCCAATAGGATTGTTTCAATTGAATGTGTTTTTAGATCTATTGGTGTTTCCTTCGATGATCATCTCTGCTTGCTTAAGCCATGTGCACCTGGGAGTCACCCTCGATATTTTTTGTTCGACTGCGTCTCTATCTTGTATATTCAAGTATGCTGAGCCGCTTTTTGGTTCGAGCGCCTTTAAGATTAATCAGTTTTCGTGGCTAACCGCATGGCATTGAGTCTGCGGAAGTTCTATTCCTTACAGGTTCTCCGGAATGGACAGATAAGACGCATTCGTGTTGTATCCTGCAGAGGTGATTTGCTTCAATTGCGATACTATTGGAAATCTTTTTGTGAGCTCTTGTTCTCCCTCCTTGTTTGCGGGACTGATTATCCATTGAAATTGACGGGAGCATTGCTTTCGACTTTGCAGTGAATGGCGTGATACTCATGCAGGAAGTGAAAAGAATGGGCCAGCAGTAGCAGAGATTGCCTGTAGAATTGGCCTTTTGATGCCTTTTGTCTGCTGTTTTTTTTCAAGCAAGAGATTTGTTTGGTCGAATGCTTGGGGAGAAGATTTTCCGGTGAGAGAATTTCAATCTGTGCATGGGCGGATTGACGCGTTGTGCATCGTGTCTGTCTTCTTCCGCTGGCAAGTTCTGCTCCTTTTTTTAGTGGATGCATTTTGATTTTGAAACAGTTGGAAAAGTGATTGATGCGGTGTTGCGCGGCCGTTTCTAGCCACAAGTCTAAGTAAGTCGCATTTGTCAAGCGCACGGCACAGAGCCTGCGAGACATGCATCAGAAAATGTTTTGGGATTGACGGGATTATTTTCTATCGGCCTTGCCATTACAATCCAGGGTCGACCAGCATTAGATTTTACCAGACTTGCAGTTCATTTTTACCTCGAATGATTCCAATGACAGGGGTGGTTCGTTAGATTTCAAGACGATTTGCCTTTAAGCACTGCGTGCTTCTGGCATGCAGCCATGGCCAAAGCGCTTGCCAGGGGGAGCTCTGAGTAGGAGGACTTTAGATGTTCCATCAGCTTCTTCGGCAGCAATCCAACGACCTAGTGCTCGTGCTGCAGGAGATGTTCCATCAGCTGATTCGGCAGCAATTCAACAAGCTCATGCTCGTGTAGCAGGAGATGTTCCATCAGCTGATTCGGCAGCAATTCAACAAGCTAATGCTCGGAAAGAAGGAGATGTTCCATCAGCTTATTCGGCAGCAATCCAACGGGCCAATGCTCGCGTGGCAGCAAAAAGCCGCAGCAGAAAGAGGAAAGCAGCAGCGCCGTCAACTGCCGCCCCTCCAACAAAGAAGAGGGTGCGCTCTAGCTGCGCTCCTCGACCGGACTGTATCGAAACCAGTGCAGTAGCGCAAAGGCTGGTGACGGGTCGCTCTTGTGAGAACTACATGCTCTTGCTTCATACATCTTTGCTGAGCCCTGTTGACAAGGGGCCCACGCAGTCTTTGCCGGCCGTCCGTGGTCTGACCGCCATGTATCAAGGCCAACCTGTGTTTGTCCTCGACTCTTTCATGTCTCGAGGTTGCCAGAAGAACGATGTGGCTAACATTCGTCAACTGGCCAGCGGGGAGTGGATCCTTGGAGGGGTGGTGACCTGCAAGTCCACTGAATTGTCTAACCTTCGCCTCCAGTATGAAGTTACATCCGTAGCACGTGGCCGAGTGACTCTGAGGCAGTGCTGTGGGGATGAGGCGGTGACGGTGGTCGACCCTGCGCAGTCCGTTCACAGAGCACGTGCTATGGCCGACGATGCTGCGGAAGCTTTACAGCATCGGCCCCTTCCTTGGATGTCGGCCAATCCAGAGCCGTTGAGTTTGCGCGCCGTGAAGCCCCAAGCAGCTGTAGAGCATGAGCGCCAGTTTCCATACCACCGAGTGCAACCACGTCAGGATCGTTCGCGTTTTGAATTCTGCTTAGATGTTCCTTGCCCGCAGATTTGGGACATGACGCCGTGGCGGTGTCGCAGCTGCGATTCTGAAACTTGGCCGGTGACAGCAGCAGATGTGGATGATGAATGCCTGCGTTTGGGTCTTGGTACACCTCTTCGTTTTACTCAGACTAGGCATGGCAAGGTGTCCGCCTCTCCTCTACTTTTATTTTGGTTGCTGATGATGCTGTACCGTGACATGAACCTGCATGAGGTGCGAAGGAAGTTGCTAAATTTGTACTCCGCTTCCACATTGCATGCTGCGCAAATGACCCCCTCGCTCACTAATGTGTCTCAGCTTCGTTGGATATTGATGTGTGTTCCAGACCACCACGCTATCAAAGATATCTTGTTGAGCTGCTTTGCAGACTTTGTGCAGAAGAGGGTGGATCTAATGCAGGAGCGTCTGTTCGTGTACAATGGTCAACTGATTCGTGGTGATGGCAACTATGACCTGGCAAAGGCAGTGGTGCGCTATGTAGAAGGACAGAAAAGTCATCCCTACACAGTTGCTTTCGCTTGGTGCGGGGTGGATGGTAGCTTGTTGGTGCCAGTATCGTTTGCCCAAAGTGAGTCTTGGCATTGCATTGAAGCGTCCTTGGCGCCGTTGCTCCGGAAGCTCAAGCAGGCGCGACTACGGGCCGGATTCAGTTTGGAAGATTCTATTCCGTGCTTCCATGCTACGGATTCTTACCACAAGCATCGGCAAAAACTCTGCAAACTATATGGCTCAGTTTGGAAAGACTTGCGCGTGGAGGGCCAAGCACCTACGCGTTGCAAAGATGCTTTCTGCCAGGTAGGTGTGATTTCTGAGGAGGCAAGTCAGGCAAAGTGGTTGCTTCGTGTCACAGGCGAACCGATGCATGACCTCTTCGCTTTGCGTCGATTGGCTTCTCCAGCTGCCAATGATTGCCGTTCATTTCTGGCAGATCATGAGAGGTTGATCCTGCGGCTTAATGCTCCTGCCTTTCCTAGTGGGTCATCGTCACATTCGATAGCCGATGACGTCGACATTTCAAACAGTGCTCAACTCTTATTGCAAAGGTGTGTCAAAGAGTCGGCAGCATCTGTGGCTGATGCCGTGGCGGCTTCTCCAACCGAAGTAGCCGAGTTGCGTGAACTCATGGCTTCTGAGAACGTGCAGCAACATATCATCTGGCATACTCTCTTCAGTGCCGCTCCTCCACAAGGCGTCCTCGTTCGTATAGGCAGGCTGTTGGGGGCTTCTTTGCATGCCAGGCATGCTGAGCTATACAACTTCTTGGGCAAGGACGATTTCGTGGACGAAGTTCGGCGGATGGAGGCTTGGTACCAAAGGCCACGGCGACAATCTCGCCGCAGGCATGGAATACGGCGAGGAAACAAGCAATCAGAAGAAGTGAAGGGAAGAGCCAAGGTATGGACAGCAAAGGTTGCCGCTCACTACGCTCGCATGCGCGCGCCTATCCGATTGCAGGGATTCATGCGGTGGCGGGAGGCAGCTTTGGCGCTGCATGCTGCAGGGATTGAAGCTCATTCTGGAACAGTGCCTGTGGAGCGCCTCTGGGCAAGATCCTGAGGAAATCCGCTTCAATGCAAGCGCTGCTTTGTCCGCAGCACAAGAACAAGCGCTCGACAGAGCCTCGCAGGAAACACCCTTACATTGGGAAGACATTCCTGCAAGTGACTTCCTGCTAGCTTTTGCCAGTGTGAATCACCTGTGTTCTGTACGGCGTTATGGAGACTCTGTCTGCGCACTGCTGAATCGTTTGGGCTATGATGTCACCCACCGCTCCACGCATGCAACCCAGTTGACACTCCTCAACTTGTGGGGACAAATCTGGAATCCCATGCAGGGCTCTGGGATCACATGCATCTTTAGCGAGAAGCTTTTCGGATTGCTCGCAGCTATTGCTTTGGCTTGGTTGCAGCAAGACAATGCAATTACAGTGGGACTGGTGCTGCTGTATCGCGCCAGCGTGGATGTGCTGGAGGCGTGGCGCGAGACTTTACCTCAAGATTGGCAAGAGCGGCTCACAGTGGCCACACCCGAACAAGTGCAAGGAGATTCCTTCGACAAAGTCGTCTTCTTCTGCATGCAACGACGATGGCCACATGAGAGCAAACCTCAAGGCCACTCTGTCCATGAGGGGCGAAGATTGGTAGGCCTCACTCGAAGCAAAGCAGAGCTGTTGGTTCTTGCAGAGTGGCTGCACTACAGTGACTTTCCAAGCACTCAAAGATTTCAAAAAGAATTTGGGACGGACGGCTGTGATATGAACCAGGCAGACCTACTTGCACAATTCAGCCGCAGGTTAGGCTTGCAACTGACTGTCCCCGCCATCTCTTGGACACAGTTGACTCCTGCTGAAAGAGATCGCCAAGGGAACATGGCAGCTGTGACCTTCTTGCAGCAGCCGCAGCAATGGCAACAGATCTGGAGCAACATGCAGTGGCAACCGCCGCAACGAGAGGTTCCAGGCGGGCAAAAAAAAGAAACACATTTTATAGCCATACGGCCATACCCAAATAAATAATCAAAAAAAAAAGGAAAACCACCAAATATGAAGAATAATGCATTATACCAACCCCTCCAAAAAATGCTCTACGAATTAGGGAATGACTTTAAACTTTTTAACCCACCACCGAAAAAATCAATTACACCTATAAATCTGAATCCCAACCAGTGTTCTAATGTATTCTGCTGCTAATCTCCGTGTCTGCCGCGCAAGCTCAGGCATTCCTAGTGCACTGCCGTCAGATCAAGAACTTGGAGGGATTTTGCTTATCCCAGCCATGCCGATGGTCAATATGGGGCATACCAGCATGTTTGTGCCTCTGAATTTCATTTCCAAAGCGGGACAATACACAGGGCACCATGCGAACCAGCTCACCAATCAGCTCATGGATTTTGCGTGCAGGCAGACAGCCGCAGAGTGCGGGGCTACGCACGAAATCCGACACCACAAACTCAAGCATGAGGAGGTCGGTGGAGCCGAGTACTATACCCAGAGCTGCAACTCCCTGCGCGCGGCGCATTTGCTCCTAAGCACCAACGACACCACCTTACTCAAGGTGTACCACGGTTGTGGTACTGAACTTCAACGAGGTGACGTCTCGAGCTTAGTGGTGACAACAAGGGACATGGGCACCCTGGCCGTCTTCTTGCGCATCCTGATTCGAAACTATTGCCCCAACCAGGCCCACTAGTTTGCACACCTTCTCACATGCGCACGCAAACACTAACCAGAATATCATACAAAACTTGTGTCTAGAACTTCCATTACAAGGAAGGTTTCCAGCTAGATGTTGGTTGACCAGTCTGATTGACGCGCAGGTGGTTCAGTTCATCCTTCAGCACAACGAAATGCAAGCCCACGTGCAGTTGAACCAGCACATGCATCATGCCCTGGAGTGGACCGACTTTGCCCATGGAGTCTTAGTGGCTTACCTGCTGCAGGAAGCTGTGTGAAAAAAGAATCATAAGGATGGATTGCAGCAACGGTACTTTACAGAAACATTCTTCCCAGCAAGTCTGCTAGCGTGCGAAAGAAATTTTGCTACAGAGATGACGGTCAAGAGACATTTATTGATGGCATTGCCAGGCTGTTGGCCGTCTTCCGCCAAGCTCTGCGGACCTGACCGTGATCCAACCCGGTGAGGCAACACATACCGTATCAAGAGACTTAGTATATCCCTTTTGGATCCTTTTGGGAGATAGAAAAACAATTCAATAGATATTGTATTGATATTGACATGACATGATGTTGACTATGATTCTGGTCCCTTGTGTTTCCCACGAACCCGGGCACGGCCATTCTGGGCTTGAGGCAGACCCTGGAAAAAGACAAGCACGTCTTCAAACCCATTCCTCTCATGTGCCCCAAATGGTCACAGAACCAGTGTCTGCCAAAAATGCCGCATTTGTTGTGGATACTTTGCCGAGAAATCTCAAGTAAAAAATCACCCATTGTTCACAACCGTTGCAGGTACAGAACCTGGTTGTCTCAGCGCTACTTCTTGAAGCCGCAAGGATTTGGACGCTCCTCAGATCGCATGGAGTGCAGGAGGTAGAGATGCAATTCTTGAGGCGAAGTTGGTGTTTTATGTCGATGTCTCAGTTACTGTGTGGTGTAAAAAAAGCAAAAAACTTGAAGTACTTATGATTATAAGTGGAATGTTGCATATGTTTTTTGTCCACTCACGATCTTTACGATCCTTGCTAAGATGGATGGATGGAGAAATAGATAAATAGATAAACAGACATTCACATAGAAAATTGTTAAACTATCCCCCCCCTTCAACCCTGGAATATTTGGGGGGGGGTGTAGGTCAAGAAATTTCTGAGACATATTTCACCTGACCACATGAAATATACCCTCCCTACATACTTTTTGGGCTTCCAAAGGGGGTGGGGGGGGGTCCTCCGGATGCCAGACTTTAATTTAGATATATCTAGATATGCCAAATTGGCTATACATAGATCAAGAAAGCAAACCGCGCATGACCTCCGCGAACCCTTGCTCCTATTCTCTCAAGATACTCAGAAACGCAACCCTACTGCTGCAATGGAATTTATTGGGAGGGGTGCTTCTAGAGCTGTAAAATACCATGGTTTTGCAACTCCCCCCTCAAAAATATCAAAAAAAGTCTCAAGCAAAATTTGGGAAGAAACAATTATATAAAAATGCACGCTTCAACCGGTTTGCACGTACCTGACTACATCCGCAGGTGCCCGTTGATGCACAAAAGAAAGCGCTAAACTTTTCCATGTCTTATTCTACCGTATATAAGCTCAAAACAAATAGCTGAAATATTTCTATAGGTGTGTGGGGAGGGGTGACACCCACCTTTTTCGAAATATTTCAGTTTTTACCCCCCCCAACCCCCCCCTTAAAGGGTGGGGATGTTAAACTTCATTCAGTCATCACCATTAGAAAAATTAAACACTTTAACCATGCGATTCATGGTCCACTGGCAACCGTTTAGCGACATCGCCAGGTTGCAGACATACGAAGATTTGGAACTGATCACATCGTGTGGTCGAAAGCTTCCACGGGCCAAGCATAGTTGATTCGTCCGAGCAAAACAAAAGGACGTACTGTAGGACACTGTCGGTAGATTTACAATATTTTTTTGCAGATGGTCGTGCTACATTTTCACCAGAAGATCACTACGCAACAGATTGTTTCTGTAATTTTCCCACTTTGTAGGTCCTAAATTTTTGGCAATCTCAGACTCATCTTGTGGTCTCTGTTGTCAATGAAAGAATCACAAGGCCGTGAAGGCATGCATCAAGACTATATACATATCAAGCTCCCAAACATACACACACACAAAACAAATGGATTGTAAGAAAATGAGAGATCCCCTATCAACTTGGTTGTTCACTGCAAAATTATAGTCATCTGTGACATCTTTGATCTGGATCAATTCGAAAGATCACCACGACTGAGGAAAGTCCCATTTACACTTTGGTAAACAAATATAGCTATGAAAAAAAGTACCATCCTTCACAGGTACATCAAGTGTGACCATGTTATTTTCAATCACAATGTTAGTTCACCAGAAGGTAACACACGATTCAAGTTCCTTGGTATTCCAAGTTTGGACCAGAAAAAAAATTGGTCGGTCGAATCATCTTCCAGCCAAGTTTTCTCCAAGGGCTGCGGCCAAAGAAGCCGTTGCTAAGCGATCTGCACAGAGTCCGCAGTGCTCCCGTCAATTTCAATGGAGAATCATCCCCACAAACACGCAGGGAGAACAAGAGATCACTCCAATCAAGCTGACTTGACACATACAATGAAAAAGATTTCCAATACTATCCCAATTAAAAAACTGCAGGATACCACGCGAATGCGTCTAATCTATCCATTCCGGAGAACTATAAGACATATTTTTTTTGCAGACTCAATGCCGTGCGATTAAAAACGCAAACAATAAGATAGAGAAGCAGTCTAAGAAGGCTCCCAGGTGCACATGGCGTATATATACGACCCCCAGACCAACTGTAATCAGCGTCGCAGCGTCGCCCTGCCCCCGCAGCGTCGCAGCGTCGCAGCGTCGCAGCGTCGCCCTTCTCCCGCAGCGTCGCAGCGTCGCAGCGTCGCAGCGTCGCACTGCAACCGGAGCGTCGCAGCGTCGCAGCGTCACAGCGTCGCCCTGCACCTGCAGCGTCGCAGCGTCGCAGCGTCGCAGCGTCACCCTCCTTCCGCAGCGTCGCAGCGTCGCAGCGTCGCAGCGTCGCAGCGTCGCAGCGTCGCCCTCCCTGCGGAGCGTCACAGCGTCGCAGCGTCACCCTCCTTCCGCAGCGTCGCAGCGTCGCAGCGTCGCAGCGTCGCCCTCCTTCCGCAGCGTCGGAGCGTCGCAGCGTCGCTCGCTCGCGGGCCCCCTTTCCCCCTGCACTGAATAATCAGAATGATAAAAATAGTGATAGCAATGATGACGATGATGACGACGACGAGGATGATGATGATGATGATGAGGATGAGAATGATAATAATATTTGATGTCACCAATAACAATTTTTGACAATAATAATGGTAATGCTAGCAATAATAGATTGTGGGTCCAAAACGGTACTCCATTTTTGAGTTCAATCTTACGTGATGCGGTCAACCCAATAGCAAAGCTTAATATGGTGCATAGCTTTTCATACCCCGAACGGTAAAATGGGGTAGATTGGGCATGGGACGAACAGGGGTCTACTATGGGGTTTACCATCTCAGGGTACCCGCAGAACAATATGTTGTTTACGTTAGTATCTATTAACATCTAGCAATCAAACATAGTACACTCTGCTAAACTAACATAGCTATTGCAAATTGCCATAGAAATAGTGGATTTACCCATTAATAGCATGGTGATTTTCCATAGTTACGTTAGTTTACCAGAGGGTAGTGGGAAATGCTATGGAACTCCCGAAATCAGCTGGCCATCAGAAACGCCTGTGGGTCGGCATGTCCGAAATGTTTCTTGGGATACTAGAAACATGATGGATTTTATAGTTCAAATTTGAGGGACACTTTACAGGAAACACCCATATTTAATGGCCCAAACCAGCCAATTTCACCGGTTTCCTCCAGATCTGCACCGGTTCTGGCATGTTGAACCGCATATGGTCCAGGCATCCATCAGACGAATTTCCCACCAATCATCCTTGGGTCTTTATGGTTCAAGGTCCTTACAATGTTGGGCCATTGGGTCCTTAAATTGACAACACTGGAGGTCACGTGCTGTTGATTTTCAAGGCGGAAAGGCGAAGTTAAGAACTTTGACTGTTTCTTACTTTCGATATCTTTTGCGTTGACTGGTAGTTTGAATCGAGACAGTTTTTCTGTGAACATCCAAATGGCTGGCTAGCATGGTATTTTCAGCCAGTTCAAAGATGTTTTAAGTGGGCTACTGGGCCCTTTTTCAGCAAGGGTCAGAAAAAGCAACCATTGTTGCTGACCACTTATTGAGCCGGGGACAGATCTTATATCTTTAGCCCAAGTTCCGACCTGGGGCCCACTTCTGTGTTTTTTTGCCCTCTTCATACAGCTGCAATGTTCACAAGAAATACACGACGACTTGCCAGCTGGGATGGTCATCCAATCAAATTTAGTGTTGAGACAGTCGGGCTGCTTATCTGTTGTTGTTTGGGTTGATTATTGTTGATCATTCTTGCTGATCTGTCGCTTATTGGCCATGCTTCCCATTCTTTTCGATCTGAGGCTTGAGATTGGCACAAGCAAATCAGGCCCGGCCAAGCTGTGGCCCGGTGGACGTTCATCTGGGTGTTGATTGGGGTTGACATGACCCCAGAATTGTGACTACTGTAGATTGTGTGAAAACAACGGGGCACATTCGTGATTCTGGGATTTTCAGGTGTTGAAGTCAAAGTCAGAGTCCCGAAGTACTTGCGCGATCAAGGGAGGGAAGGTCAAAGAGCCCTCAGCTTTGGATTTTACTAGTACTGCCGTATTTCCATCTGCCAAGAAAACAAGAGAGAAATCAAGACTTGGATGATGCTAATCCCAATAAGCAACCAGACAGCTGTGTGCAGCCTCATGACACTGCTCACATAGTACACAGTAGACAGAGTGCTTGTCGTGTGGCATGTCGTTCGCAACCAAGGCCCACCTTTCGACACTATTCTTGGTTACGTACCCGTTATTTTATGATTGTTGCTTAAAAATTACTGGTTGGTGGTTTGGAACATTTTTTAGTTTTCCATTCAGTTGGGAATGCCATCATTCCAACTGACTTTCATATTTTTCAGAGAGGTAGGTCAACCACCAACCAGATTACATTCTCCTCAGTCTTCGATGCCCATTTTCTGTGAATTCAATCCCTGTATTGGGTACCCTCTGGTGAACTAACATAGCAATTGAAAATGGCCCAGTCGAAATAGTGGATTTTCCCATTAATAGCATGGTGATTTTCCATTGCTATGTTAAATTACCAGAGGGTATGGGTCAAAAAATTGGG